GATGGGGGGGGGGGGTTGCCGTGGGAGGGGTGAGTGTTCGAAGCTGCGCCCTAGGCAGCAGTACGCCCTAGGCGGCTGCCTAGTTTGTCTAGTGGCAGCACCGGCCCTGAATGTACCATATGTAGAACAGGCCCTTTGCCACATGTTGCTGCAACGTACAAGTGGGGATGGACCCTTATATTTCCTCCCTAGGCCCAGTTCACATTATTGTGTTACAAAAACACACATGTTCCCCCCGCACACTACCTACCGTGGAACAAAGCTTAGCCATCTTTTCTGCATAGCAACCCAACACACTATGCCAACAGAGGTGCACTTCACTGCAGTGCCAAGGACACACCTTTGTTGCGTTCCGCTGCCAAAAAAGTTTCAGGTCAGATCTCTGGACCGTTGAGATGCATTGCCAGCATGTTCATTTTGACATTACATAGCACACGCTCACACACATGGTTAACACGCGTGCAGTAAGCCCGTGACACAATGCATGCAAAGCCACCAGCAGCAAAGCGGAGCTGCATTGTGCGGACATTTGCATGCAGTGTGTGAGAGTCCGAGTAGCTCAGGGTGGCGAGATGAAAAACGTCATCCTCAGTCAATCGGCTCATGCGTAAGAACTCAATGGCGTCCGCGTCCTGACACAGGGGTTCATATGCGCAAGCCGATTGTCTGAAGCAAATTCCAGAAGAATCCCACCGCACCACTTAAGCTGGCCACACACCTTACAACCATCGCAAGACTTTTGTCTTGCGATGGTTGTAAGGTAATTAAAAAAACTTACGATCTGCCTATCTTGGACAGGCAGATCAAACTTGCGATCATCGCAAGCCCGCCCCACTGAGGGGGCGGGCTTGCGATGACCGCAATGCTGAACGGGCAGTGTGCGCTTGCGCACACCGGCCTGTGCGGTATTTATCTTACGAACATGCCACACACCCGCTGACAATCGTAGGATTCTCGGAGGGTTTTTGAACATGTTCCTAAGATAAAAGTTGTGCGACCGTACAGTAGAAACAGTTGCACACCTTCCATACACCTGCCGATTATCGTACGATTATCGCAAGGTGTGTGGGCACCTTTACAATTATCTGCAGATTTTCTGTGGTCAGAGGGAAAAGGTGCAACAGATTCCTCCATCTACACTTAACTGTGTGTATGGAGTAATCTCCACCTGGGCCAATCTGTTGCACTTTTTCCATCTGACCAAAGGTGTATGGGCACCTTTACTGGTATGTCCCTAAGGCCTCGTTAACACTAGGGATGGGCCGAACACCCCCGTGTTCGGTTCGTATTCGAACATTTGAACGGCCGAAATGTTCGAATACGAACTCGATGCAAGTGTATGGGGGTCGAATGTTCGACCCCCATACAGCTGCCGGTACATGTAGTTAAACTGTGGCTACAGCGGCCTGTGTCCCTTCAAATCCCAGCGCCTGTGTTGGCGGAGACAGCGGGGACACAGACCGCTGCATGCCTTCGCTGCCCCCCTTACCTCCGCTGCTGTCCCGGCTGCCGGTCCCCTTGTCCGTCCAATGCTGTCAGGGCCTCAGGTCCCCTGGTCCGTCGGCTTCGTCTACGATCCGGCCGCGGCTCCTCTGCCCCGCCCCCCTGCCTCCTCTTCATTGCAGGCTGGGAGCCATACCCAGCCTGCTATTGGATATTGTAAAATGCAATAGCCAAGAGCAAGCTGGCTATTGCACCCGCCCACTGCCTGCTGTCAATCAGCATGGGGGACCCGATAGAGAACTTTCTCCTCCAGGCCCCTCCTCCGCTGAGCTCTGATTGGGCAAAGTCTTGCACCTGACCTGTGGTGTGATGCAAACACATCTTGTCACATTGCAATGTTTCGGGGCCACTCCATCTCTGTCATGCCAGATGAAGGAACAACCCAGAGTGGCCCCGAAATGTTGCAATGTGACAAGATGTGTTTGCATCAATAAAACAATCACTTCTGAAAGAATTGATCATGATGTGCTGGTGATACATTCTACTACCCGATTGTCTGAAGATTACATTTTTCATATCGGCAAGCTCAGCTATACGAGCTTTCGCAATCTGAAGAACGCACTGCATGCAAAGGTTTGCACGCTGCCATTTCCCTTTGCTCCGCGCGGCTTTACGTGCAGTGTATCACAGACTTTATTGCAATGCACCCCAGCGGTTAGGCGTGAACCTAGCCTTAAGGCCTTGTTCACACCAAATGGAGACCAGATCCGGTCAGGTTTCTGCACACGCAGTGCAGTGGGTTGTGCCGCGTTTTGGGCCGGTTTTGGTAGTTTAACATGGCCTTTCAGGCACTTGCATGCGTTTTTGATGCGTTCCAGACCAGATCCAGAGCAGGTAAAATAGGGCTTGCCGCATTTTTTTCATCCGGTCTGGATCCGCACGCTGCGATGTGAACTGGAGGTCAAAATACCATAGGAATACATTAGACGCAGTTTTGATCCGGTCTGCACCTGCTCTGGTCCGGATCTGCTCCGCGCGTTTGGAGTGAACAAGGCCTAAGGCTTGTTCACACCAGGTGTGCTGAGCTGCATTGGGGCTTAATCACATCAGCCCAGTTGAGCACCGTTGGCCAACGCAGAATCCAAAAAATAGTTTAGGACGATTGGGGGAATTCATAAAAACTGGAGCAGACAGAATCTGGAGCAGTTGCCTATAGCAACCAATCAGCTTCTCTCTTTAGTTTGTTAAGGTAAACTTAAAAAATGAGATAAGCTGATTGGTTGACATGGACAACTGCTCCAGATTCTGTTTGCTCCAATGTTTATGAATCCCCCCCATG